CCCCCCCCCCCCCCCCACTCGCCAACCCCCGCTGAAACAGAAAACAGGAGAAAATAACACTTGTAAACCCACGTACCCCATCCACAGGGATTTTCCACGCGTCCCGGAGAGAGAGGAATGACAAAATTCCCCCTTCGTCTCTCTACTTGGGATTAGGTTAGCAGGAGTACTATAAAACCTGGGGATTGAACTGCCATCGACACCACTTGATCGGGATATACCGTTGAGGACACAATGTTCACCATTTCGTGTGCAAGTGCTTGTGTACGAGTTGGTACTCTCCTGGCTACCATCGCTGTTGTGACTTGTGATTATGGTAAAGATTGTTTGAGCAATGTTTAAACACTGAGAGAAAAATAATTCCTCTGACTATAGTCCATCACCATCGAATTATAGTCAAAAAGTCCTCAACAATTTTTCATGGGTCACGGTAACTATGGCCGTGGAAGTAATTACTACAGTGGAATGTAGTCATTGCAACTATTTTATAGTTCTACTCATGATAGATTTGTCGTGGTTACTTCTGAACTTTGGTTAGTTTAAGGGTGCCAAGTGAATTTGAAAAAAGATTCAAAAAAATTTTTTCTTTCCCTCTATCATTGGAGAAATATGTATTCATCCATCCGACGAAATTTCAAACAAGCAACCGGAACTAGACATCGAGAAAATAAATGCGGAAAATCCTCTATTTCGCGTGACGAACCTCGAGAAAGCATGGGATCAAATGGGTACGGCGGGTTGAAATATCTCTCTTATTCACCCCGGTACCCCATTGTTTTTTGTCGCCATCACATTGAACACATCATTCCCCATATATTCAAATTTTTTCAAATTTTTCTTGAGTTCCTAGGGGGTTGAAACGTTCAATTCAATCAAAACTCCATAAGAGGCCGTGTATACGACTGATTTTGTTTATTTAATTTCTCGATATCCATAAGTTCTAAAATTTTAAAATTGTCAATGTCAATTTGTGAATGTCAATTTTCAAGGTCATCGCCAAATTCACTTGGCACCCTTAACCCTAGTTGGTCACTATAGGAGGGAAACGCCGCAGAAGGTCGATTTTTTTTTCTTACCATTGACTGGCTGAGCGGAAAAATCCTAAAAAATTGGAATGCGTCAATTCAAGTGTCGAGAAAATTATAATATTTTTTAAAATTATTTATATCCACAATTCCTGAAGAAAAAAAATTATTTCTAACAGACTGGCAATTTTTCCCATGTTAAATGAAATTGCCCGTTGTGCGACGTTGCCGAAGTCTCGCTAAACGCGCCCGGGCAGTATAGAGTGAATTCGGCAACGCTCGGGCCTAAATAACACGGCGGCTATTCCCTGCGGAGGTGACCAAGTTCCAAGTTCACATATCGTGACCAACTAGGGTTAACTGCATTTTGATTTGCAAAAATTACGCCTGTGAAGTTACTGTAATGTTATGTGCCGCACACAAAAAAAATCGTATCGTTCACCAAAATGCCTCAACTATTTTCTTATTGTAAATCGAACTTCGGATTTTTCTCTCAGTGCACGGAGCAAAAAGTTGGAGAAAAATGATCAAACAAGTCAAGTAATCGTGAAGCGGAATCCATTTCTAGGTTTTTTCCACTCTATATTGTGGCAAAAGTGCGAGACGAATAGTGAATTTTTCTCCACTGACTCGGGGAAATTTACTAAACGTGAAAGTCATTTGGGCTGAAATTGTAAAATTTACCATTTTTTCCATCGAGAATTTTTCCCATCCACATTTCAGCCAATAGAATTACACTATACGGCTGTTATTTTATATAGTCAACACNAAGTAGCTCTGCCCTTACGGTAAATTCAAAGATTATTGAGAACTGCAAAAAAATTGCAGAAAACTCGATTAGATTCGGAATTATAATTTTTTTCTCAATTTAATTATCGTTTTGGTTTTTCAAAGAAGAAATGTTTAAAAATCAGGATTTAACCCAGTGTCTTATGTGAAAATCAACATTTCCATTGTAATCAAAGATTAAAATCTGAATTTTTTTTCATTAGATGTGAAAAAATCGAGAATTTCTTTGACACCTCATAAAGAATAATCCACCGTTTTGCAAACAAGTTTTATTATTTATTTATAAGAGGGAAATGTTCGAAAAAATATCAATATTTTGCGAAATTTAATCTAGATAATACTGAATGGGTATGAATTTTTTCAAATTTTTTCCGTGCAATTTAGTTAAAAAATTTAAAAACTGAAGATATCCAAAAGTAAGCGTAGCCCGCACTGAGAAAAAAAATTACTTCTGCCAAGTAAATTTACTTGCTACAAGTAAATGTATGCAAATATTTGCATTTGAAATGTGTGGATTTTCTTGTAGTTAGCAGATTTATTTGGGAAAAGTAATTTTTTTTCTCAGTGCGGCCGAAGGGTAGAGCTACTTTAAGATTTTTGCGTAGATCTCGAGTAGATCTCTTGGGAATTCTCATCGAGTGACTGTTCCGATGAAATCTGAAGAAATTTCGTTATTGATAATTCACGATTTGAAAAAAAATCAAGGGATACTGTCAATTTTATTTGGATTGTTCCGTGAGAATTAGCGTTCGCGGAGTTTACACATTGGAATTTATAGTTTTACGGGAAATTCAAGAAAGTGAGGAATTCTTGGTTTTCTGCGCTCAAAAATTTGGGGTTTCATTCACTTTTCAGTGAAATTTGAAATTTCATCATTTTTTTTTCATCTGAAATCGAATTTGATTTTGATTTTTTCTAGTAGGTTTTTCTTGGCAGTGCAGAATGAAAAGAAATTGAAATTTCTAAGGGTTCAAACCTTTCTAGAATAGGAAGTCTCGAAGATTTACGAAGATTGCTTAAATAGTGCATTTCGGGGATTGTCCTTACGAATAATAATTAATTGTTGTTTTTTTGCCTTACGGCGGGTCAATTTTTTTCATCGAAGTCGACATTTTGACGACAAATGCTAGAAAATTCTAGAATATTCTGAAATATTGTCGAAGCACTGGAGGTGCACTAATGAAGAAAGGCTCTCGTAATCGAATTCCGTGACTGTTCCGTAAAATTTCCTACAACCACATTTCGCTCCGGAATTACGGAAAACGTGATTTCTATTGAATATTTCTCTCCGTGCATTTTGCAAGTGACTCCTACTAATCTCGCGAGGAATCACCGAAATTCCAGATGGCAATCAAGCGGCGAGTTTTGCAGACAGAAATTTGGACTCCAATGTACTTTGCAACGGAGGGAGATGCACAGAGACTAGCGACGGGATAGCCGGTGCCATGTGGTTCGGCCCAAGACTAGGAAGGAAGAGAAGATCAGATGAAAAAATGGAAACAATCGACGAAGAAATCGGCGCTATCGCTGATGTCATCAATAGCGGACCATGGGCCTGGGTCGCGTATTCCGGTACAAAAATAAACTTCAATAAACTTTGAATAAATTTTTACGTTTCGATGACATGTGTGCAAACACAGGGCATCGCTTCTTGCATAGAATTCCTAATTTTCAGTAGAAAAATTGAAGAAACGACATAAATTCAGTAGTGAAGTGGTAAACCGGTATAAGGCGATTTTGACTATTGCCCAGTTTTCAATGAATATCTCAAAATCTAAGAGAACTAGAAAAATGTTTGTTACAACCTTTTTTGTAGAGCGAATTGAGAGCTACAAAAAAGGTTGTAACAAACATTTTTCTAGTTCTCTTAGATTTTGAGATATTTATTGAAAACTGGGCAATAGTCAAAATCGACTTATACCGGTTTACCACTTTACTACTGAATTTATGTCGTTTCTTCAATTTTTCTAAAAGTTAAGAAATAGCGAAATTGTTGTCATTTCCTTTTTGCAGAGCTAATTGAGAGCTACAAAAAAGGAAATGACAACAATTAGCTCTACAAAAAAGGAAATAACAACAATTTCGCTATATCTTAACTTGAAAATTCGTGTTCACCTGCAGAATTTCCATTTTCTTGTCGCTAAAAAATTAAAACTGCTTAAATTTTCCGAGAAACTTGAACTCTCATCGATTTTTTCCGCTTAAATTGAATTCAGCCAAAGTGTTTTAACATATTTCCAATTGAAAAAGTAAAATTTATTATTTTTTTCAATTACATTTTTTCGTACATGATAAACCATCAATTTTCATCGCCCATTGGCCTAAAAAAGAAGACCTCCTCCTTTTCCCATCCAGAAATGAAAAAAGTACATGCGAAACTCCAATTTATTCATCTCCTCACTCCACCCCTGACTTTTCAAAACAGCAAATTGATTTTTACCTCACGAACGGAAGTACCTCTCTCCGAATTCACCCGCCATTCGTCACTGTTAATCTTCATTTCCAGGTGGTGGAGATAAACGACACACGACGCAATTCACCCCTCGACTCGGCCGAGAATTAACCGACGATTTTCTCCAAAAATACATGGCTTACGATTTCGACAAAAATCGATTGTCCCGTTACATCGCTGCCCCGGAAGACGCGAGCCTACAGCGTCATCAATCACCTCCCCCCCCACCCCCCCAATTTGCCCCGAGACTTGGACGTAATTTGCCATTCAACCCCTCACCGAGACTCGGACGTCACCTGCGATTTGTGCAGAAAGTTTGAAATCTCATTATTCCAGAAGCCACGACCGCAGGAGCAATCGTCTCCTCGTGATCTATTTATTTCATGAACAAGCATCTTGATGAATTCACTGAGATATTATGGAGTATTACAAGAGGGCATATTTATATTTGTATTTTAACATTTCCACATAATTATTGTGTTGTATATAAAGTTCATGGAGATTACTCGAAGCGAAGTGTTTATAATTATTTATAACTGCATTGAATTCATGATTTCATTGATTTTGAGCCCGATCTTCATCGATTTTGTGACTCGTCATGACTTTATTGTCCCCATTCACGATTTCGTCGACTGCAAATTATTTCACGTACAAAAAAAAATGAATAAAAACACTTGGCGAATTCGCTAGAAAATTTATTGGATTCACGAAAAAAAATATATACTGAATTGAGTATAAATGTTGAATCAAATATTCGTTCATCTTTAGTAAATAGGATTTTCTCGACTTCAAGAGAAGATTATTCCCGTCATGGGGATGAAATTGTTACGAGGGTTGGGGGGGGGGGAGGGGGGGAGGAAAGATGAACACCGGAACTGCTGGGCCATGTGGCGATGTTAACGCGCAGCCATAACCGTAAAACTTGGAAACAAACAAAACCTCACGTTTCAACAGCTAGTGAGCTACTGCTACACCTTCTACCCCCTCTCCCAACAATATTAACCCCCTTTTCCCGAGATATCGCGTGTCTTCTCAGTCGATAATTTTCCCACTGGCAGTATTTATTTGTCTTGCGCACCCCCCCCCCCCCCCCCCCCCCCCCCCCCCCCCCCCCCCCCCCCCCCCC